TTCTTAGAGCTGACAGCTTTCTTTAAACAGAGGCCTATCCTGTTGAGAACATGGTCTGTAGTGTTTATCCATGATTAAATGGGACACATGGGCATCTAAATGTTTCCATCTGTTTCGTTGATGACCTTATAAATTTTCACTCACCTCTGATATTCGCTAAGTTAATGATTTTTCTTCCTTTAAAATAGGAAAAAGTTCCTGTCATTGTGCTGCAGGTTTATGTGTATGTGCACATAGTGTCAGCCCAAGGGGTAGTGGAAAATATCTGCTATTGATAGGACACCGGGGTGATGTGTCAAACTTCCTTGAGGCTTTTAGGAGGCTGATTTGGTGACAGACAGCTCCTGCTTTCAGTGTAACTGAAGGTGGAGGAAGTGTTTTGATCTGAATTGTTGTTCCAACTTGGATTTTTTTTTTTTAGTTAGGTGGCAAGCTCTTCAGGGCAAAGGCAGTCTTCATTATGAGAAATGCGACTTCAAGGACTGGGCATTGATCTCAAAGTAACAGGACTCCATGCTGAGGATCTGCTTTCTCTAGACCAGCAGGAGACTGGGTGCAGGGAGAAGGTGGTTTGCGTCAGAGAAACGGCTAGCTCACGCAGCCTGTGTGTGAGGGTGATGTGGAGAGCCCACCACCATACCACCTGCAGGTGCCAGTTGTAGGGTCAGACCTTGTGATGTTCCTCAGGGTCTGTTGGGATTCCTGGAGCTAGCGAAGAAGAAAGCTAATTTGATCTTGAAACTAATAAACTGAGTCCTGTAGGTTAGTCGTCTTTCTCCCCTGCCCATTCTCCCTCTGCTTTTTTATTATTCCTATGCCTTTCCCTAATGGTGTTTCTCTCTATAGCAGCTTGAGGGTTATATAATGAGGCTAACCTGCAATACAGGACCTGGCCTACAGTACCAAAATTAATACAAGCTGTCAATCAGTATCTTCTGTCACAGAACTGAAAATAGTCAATACTTATGACTTCTTCTGCAGCCCTGAACAAGTTTAGGAAAAATAGCAATAGAAAATCTGCAGGTATGGAACTGAAACCTGTAGACAGCATATACGCATATATCTGTTCCTAAGTGCAAATAGTCTTGGGTATGTCTGTGAGTCTCTTGACTGACCTGCGGAGTAGTTGGCAGAGATCAGAAAAGCTGGTTGGTTACATATGCCAACTGCTCCTAACTTTCAGCCACTAATATGCAAAAGGGAGATGTGATTTGATATTTTTTTTTAATTGAAAGCCTCTATTAAGCAAATGTATAATGGAGAAAAATGCTAGGAAATTAGAGAGTGATTCTCAATGCTCCTATATAGGCTTTTGTGATGAATGTTTGGGATCCCTTGAGGCACTCAAAATGCTGTTGGAACTCTGACATCAACCCTTAGAACATGTGAAAACTTGTTCCCATATCAAAAACTGATTTCTGGAACTTAATCATGTTTTTTCCAATCAATATTTCTGAGATTGTGGTACTCGAAATAAAAGCCAGTCTGGTGGCTGATTAGCTCAGAGGGATCGGTTCATAGCAGACAAAGTTTGCGTTGGGAAACATTTCATATCACGTTTGATTTTGAGTTATATTGACTTAATGTCTGACACTGCATCATAATGTGGTAGTATGTACCTATTAAGAATGGCTGTACAAATCCTCTTTGACCCCAGGCTGAAATATGCAAGTACTTGTTTCTGGGTTTTGTTTAACGAGGAAAAAATAAGCTAGAATAGCTACTTACCTTGTCCCCATCTGGACACTCTTTACTCCTAATGCCTTTTGTGCAAATAGGTGAAACGTTCTAGTGGCGGCTCATCTATGCTGAGATGTGACCACCAGTGCTGCTCTCAGTGATTGTGGGCCCTCTCCTGTGGGGCAGCATGGAGATGGTGAGGACATTCATATATTGCCCTGGTGTGGGAGCTAGACCTCATAGTGCCCTAGTCCAGCCTGTTGCAGAAGCTGTTGCCTCTGTCTCCAAGCTGATGTAAACAAATCAGCAAGTGTGTCTCAGTGCAAAGCCAGCGGATTTAGCCTGAATAGCTGCTGTTTCAGAGGTGCCTGACTTCAGCTAAAGCAGCTGAGGGCCCTGGTTGGGGTGGGTATTGAAGGGGAGTGCTCCCTGGTCCAGCTTACCTTGCAAGCCCTTCCCTGTGGGAGTGCCCTCTCCCAGGACACCCAGCTGAGGATGCTGTGGCCCAACATTGCAAGGTCTCTTCATACGGTCTGTCAGCAAGGGCGGGGGCACTTCAACTGGACAGCAGCACCTGCTGAGAACAAGGGCTGTATTGTTGCTTCAAAAAGGAAGGCTAGATTGCACAAGCTGTGTGTTTTGTTGTGCAGTGTTGGTGGGGGCTTTTGGGGTGCGGGCTTTACTTTTCTTAAGTGAAGTAAGCTATTTCTGCCTTGCCTCTGCTAAAACTAGCTTACCTCAAAGCTGCATCAAGGTTTGGTTTGGGGTTGGGTTTTTTTAAACAAGAAACAACTCTGCAAAGAACTAGAAAATGTCTATCTTTACTTCTTTTACTTCTCACTTGACTTTTCAGAAGTAACAGGTTGGTTTGTGTATGGATTCTAGAAAAACAGACTATTCTATAGCTGAAGTCCTCTTAGTGTTCTGTTTCATCTTGGATGTACAAATTACCTTTGGGGTAGGAAGGGAATGTGTTTGTAGCTTGATCTATCTGGCCAGCAGGGTTAATGTTAATGACACGTTTTACGAAGCTATGCAATGAAAATACTGTGGAGGAACATCTTTAATGAGACCAAAAAAGGACTTTTTATACATGGCATACACTTGTGTCTAGCAGCAGCTGGAATTTCATACAGATTGCCTGCCATTTTAGCCCATAGAGGATACTTGTTAAACTCTATAAGTTTTTTTAGAAAGTCTAATGAGATGCACTTTTGTGGCCTTTATAATAAGGCTATGGAGGATATGACAAAGAATAACAAAGCCCATAACACCTATGAACTATGACTATTTTGGGTGTTAGAGTATTTTTTTTGTTACTCCTGAATGCATGATAGGCAAGTATGTCCTTTTATGGCACTCACTGTCAACCTGTGGCAGTTGCCATTGACCACTACAGATGCTATGCCTGAAGAGTCCATAAAAATGGACTAAATTAAAAGCAAACATTGCCCTCTTAGCATTGCCAGGAGATATAGAGGGCTGCTTCTTCAGTGGTATTTGGCTGGCAGGTAATGGAGAGCACTGGCCTGGAGCTCGCATCCAAACCATTGTGCTGAGCACCCCCAGCACAACTGCCTCTCATTGCTTCATCTCCTCACTCTTCAAATTTAATTTAAAAACTTTGTGCTTGCCCACAGCTCTCTACGGCAATAAGTTGCACAGCTGAGTGATGCACTGGGGAAGATGCTTATTTTCAGCCTACTTAGTGTCATAAGGTGACCCTCTGATTTTGTGTTTGAAAAGCTGAATGGATTTTATTAGAGGTTTGTGGGATTATGAATACTATGGAAAAAGTATACAGGGAATCATTAATACAAAGTATTGCTTTTGTGGTAAGTTTGTGTGAAGATGCTACTCAACAACATAAAAATCTAAACTTCCTATAGTTATTTTTCATAATAGACTCCAAAGCGATCTAAGTAATTGCAAGTGTTATCTTCAGCATTCATCCATCTCTGCTACCTCATGGAGCCCCAGTGAAGAATAATCACAAAAGTACCCAGGAAAACAATATTGTGTTGATGAACAAGCGTTACAGGAATCTCCTAGTTAAAAACTCTGCTCTTGTAGGCATGGATGGTTCTTCACTGTTGAAGTAGCAATGTTAGACCTTGCAGTTGGATTTGCTTAGTGAAACCCCTTGAAGACCTTTTTGCCTGGAGAGAAACCATGAGCCTATGTACACAGTGTCCAGGAATAGCTCTTGTCTGAATTTGTTTTGTGTCTGGTATGCCTGCTGTGACTGAGTAATCCCCTTTAATGTTGTGCTGTATGACAATAATCCAAAGCTTTACAAGTGGTGGGAACTGGGGAAAACAAAAAACAGCAGTAGGAACATATGCTTGTAGGCAAATATGCCAGCTGCCTGCTTAAAAGGTTCAGAGAAGAACTCAAAAGTTTGGGTATTAATTTAGTAAGCAGAGTAATTTAAAGTGATTTAGTACAGGCTTCCACTGTAGGTTGTGTGTGAGAGAAAGCTTCTCCCCTGACCCTTCCTCCAACTACAGAGGACATCTTGAAGGTAGCTGTTGGGCTCTAAAGCACTAGTCCTCCCGAATGTCCTTTTAACTCGGGGATTTAAGCAAAGATATAAGCAAACAAAGGAAAGACAAACAGTCCCCAGTGAAAATCTTCTCATGGTATTTTCATATCCGTAGGTTTGGAGGAGGAAAGTGGAGGATGTCTGGGAACTAGTGGGGTTTGGGGAGGGTATCAGAGGTCTAAGCAATAGTATGAAAATGCTACTGGAAATGATGGGTGTTTTGAAGGCTTGCACAGGAGGTAAAGCAAATGATCTAGGTGGGTTTGACTAAGTACCGGTTTCTTTGGTTTTGTTTGTTTGGGAGTCTTGTCTTGAAATTTGTGAGATACATAGGAGAAGCAAGTGGCATGCATGAGTATTAAGATAATTTCCAAGGTAAACTGAGGATTCGCTTATAGTGAATTCACTAAACTTTCCTTTAGAGACCTTGAATACCTGTGGGTCAGGCTGTATAGGAGATGTTTGTCGCTGCTCTCAAGGTGCTCTCTTGAGACCAGTCAGTTGTGACTGCCAGAGTCTGGAGATGATCTTCAATGAGATCCTGTGTGTACCATGTGTTGCACTGTTAGAGGAGGCTGATTATCCCAGTGCAGTTTCTGTTGTTGAATTGGTCTTGATACCATGGTGACAAGAGCATTACAAATAGCTAATTATGTAGCCTGAACTCTGATATCTGCCCAGAGCTTTAATAAAGGTCAGGTAGCAGAGCCAGCTGCTGACTCTCTTCTGCACTACTTTGGCTTCTGATTGCTTCTATCTTAACTTGTGTTTGTAGCATGCAACAGAGGATGGACTTGTATACACAAATGATCCGGCCAGGACAGTGTCCAAAGAATGGATTTACATTTAAAGGTCCCAGCAGTTAGACTTGCCTAGAGAAGGTAAGGAGAACAAACCTGAGGAAATGGGCTTGGGTGTATTGTGAGTGTTTGCTTCAGTTAAACGTTTTATTTGACATCAATATTTCATTTGCTGCCCTGGGAACAGGGCTGTTCTCTGCCATAGTCCACAGAATGTCAGATCCAAAGTCCTTTACGTAAAGGATTTTGGCTACTCTAATCTTGTCATGGGCTGCTACTTTGTGTCCTTCCTAGGACTCCAAATGCATGCTACCTCAAGATTTAATTCTTAGACTGAGATTTTTTCCTGAAAACTCTTCAGAGACTTTTCTCTAAGATGCAAAATGTGGAGATGACATTTTTTCTGCTAGCAATGCACTGCAGCTTTTAGAAGTGGATTTAATGTTGATTAGGCAGAATGACCTACTCTTTTGGGTAACAATAGAATCTACTTCTGAAACCTTGTGCTGAGGTAAAATTCTAGCAACAAAGACTCGGTTTGTGTGACTGGCAGCTACTTTCTTGCTTTTGTGAGCTTCCTGATCGGACCAATTTAGCCTTTCAAGGTTGGTTTACTTGATACTCTTGTGCAGGAACAGTCAAAGGGTGAAGTCACCCAGAAAGCATTTGTGCAGAAAAATGGAAGTTGAACTAAAGAGCAGTGTATTGACAGCTGCACTGTGGGCTTTATCATGTGCAGTAGTTCTAGAGCAGGATTTGGAAGTATATTTACAAAAATGCTTCTGTAGTCTCAAGTCTTTTAAAAATACATAGTCAAAGGAGAAGTGACGAGATTTCTGTGCCCTTTCCTCTACTCTCTTCACTCTCTCTGCTAATGAATATAAAAGGGTGATTTTTTTTGCTCTTTTTCTATGAAATAAAGGCAATTTAGCCCAGAGTGTAATCCATTTCTGGGCAAGATCTTCACCTGCAGCTATAACATCCCTGTCACTTCTGTTCTTATATATGCTGCACTGCACTCAGCCGACCCCTTAAAGTAGGAAACGGTCTCAACTAGTCAGTCAACAAGCTGTTTTTTGCTTGGGTTGATAAAGTGAGCCTCCATCCATACAATAGTCTGTGGTGGTAACTAGATGTTTGGGAGCATCTTAGCTTAAACCATCTTAGGCCTCCTCCCGTCTGCCCTTTGCTGCTTGTTTCCATACCTGCACCGTGCCAGTGTAGATGCTGCTATGCAGTGACCTGGTCAGGGAAACTGAGCCAACTGGAAGAATAACCAAGATGGAGAAAAGGGTTTATCTTCTAGGAAGTTTGCACCCAATCCAGTTTACAGCACACCTCTGCCAGCACAGAGGTGGGAAGACAGCAGAGGGCAAGCAGGCAGTGAGGGGCGGTAATGGTATTTCCATTCTGAAGTTGATGGTAAAACTTCACCTTAAACTAAGGAGTGTTAAATGAAGTCGGGCTTATTTTTGGTGAAACACTGCTTTCCTGAATAGAAAACTTCACTGGAATTCTACATATGTAATATGAAAACTGAAGCTTATCCTTCAGTAAAGATTTGGTCTCTTGCAAATCAAAAACTAAGACTTGCTCTGAACATGAGGTTTGCAATGACCTGCTCAACTCTGTATTTCACGCAGGTTCCTCCAAACTTTCTGATGTTTTGAACAAATGCAGCAAGCCTAGATGGAGATTTTGATTACATTCCCAGTTTTACTACTGGTCAAGCCAGCTGTGCTGAAGAAAAATCACCAGAGCTTTGGAACTCAGCATATGGACCTCTAACTTCTTAAAAGTTAATGCACAATTTTCACAGACACACAACCACTGTCATCAGACCACTAAGCCCTTCACTGAGAGCACAGGTGATGAAATCGCTCAAGTCCTTGAGGGTTTCTTGTTGATAAAGTATTAAGCTGCTCTTAACACAGAAATAACTTATCCTGAATCTACAGAGTCTAATCTACTTTATCTGAAATATAAAAAAGGCTTTTTACCTAATTTTGCACTGTTTAAAGTTTTTAAAATATGTATTTTAAGACCTCTTAACTGTGCACTTGACATTTTTATAAAACATTGTTTTCTTGTCTTGTACATATTTGTCTGATTGTTCTGTGCAAAAGAAGCCTCTGTACTTTGACATATCATTCTAATCAGGCCTATTTTACACAGCACAAGAAGGGTTAGGAATGTAAAAGATTACCTGAAGGAAAAAAAAAATGCTGTAACTCTGTAAAATACAAGAAGTGTGGGATGTTAAAATGCTTTGTTTCTGGTTCTTACCTTGTATGTTACCTATATGTACTCAGGTATTTAGGTTTTAAATGACTTCTAGGGGTAGACATTTGCAAACTCTGATCACACTGCATCTCAAGAAAACAAGTGCAGTTAACTTCTCTCACATGATGTAATTCTTCTTTTTTCACTTTCTGCTCTGTACACCCTGTTCCATGATTACTGATCTTATATCTTAAAGAAATAATCCTGCTCTGTCAGACCTAGCATCCAGCCTACTTCAAGGAAGGGTCTGCAGTAGGGTACAGAAGCTGGTGTCTAGCTCCTAGTCTAATGTAGCTGTGATCTAAAAAGGGTTTATGGTAGTTTGTGTGGTCCTTGCTAGCTGTAAGAAGTATACTTTACCCCACAACTGCTAGCCTTGGCAAAGAAAATAATTAGTCTTTTTCAGGCTAAAAGACATAAGTGGGGACAGGTCCTCTGTCATGTTGAAAATAAATCTTGCAGAAGTGGGGATTGCAAACTGATCTGTTCTTGACATTGGCCACAAGCAACCCTTGTCAAATGTGTGTTCCAGGATATCTTCCAAGTGAGAATGTTACTGCCAAACAAGATAAGGTATTTGGCAAACTGACCTGTCTCATTACTTAAAAACACAAAACTCTACAAAAATCTGCTTGGCTATACTGCTGGAGCTTGATTCTGGAATGTGTTTATTCCATGGGCTCTTGTTTGTGCTGCTTATATTGCAAAAGCACAGCCCTGAGCCAGAAAGGAGCTCAGGTGTTACCCAGCTGAGGGCTGGCGCATCCTGCAGTTGACACCTTTCTGCGAGAGAGGTGCCTAAAGTGCCGCTTATGCGTTTTACTCTGAGACTCTCCATAATGCTGCAACAGTCCGGGGGCAGAGCCTAGAAGCTGGGACTTGAGTCTGTTGGGGAACGCCCTTGTGGCTGAGCTCAAGCTCAGGTTTTTGCCTCTTTCACTCTCTTGGGAGCCTCTCTTAACTGTAACTGTGACTTGGCCATGCAATAACTGTGCCTGAGCTCTGGGGAAGGGAAAAGCTGTACCTTTGCACTCCATCTTTTGGATATTCCCACAAGAAGAAAACAAGAGGGCATCGCAACGCTTCAGCCCAAGAAGGGCCTAAATCTATTTTATCAGTGATCGCCCCATGAACGAAGTCTGCCGCATCTGCTCCAGGTTGCGTCCGCTGTGGGGCTGGCTAGCGGGTGCCCAGTGCTCCAGGGCCTGCCTCCCCTCCTCTTCTTCCCTAGCTTCCCCAAATCCAGCAGAGGCAGATGGCAAGAGTAAACATCACAAAAAATTCTACTACTTTTCTGGGAGGCTCTCGGGGGTCCTGAATGGTCTCTGTAGAGCATTCTTGGTACTGGATGCTTGCATTCCTCCTAAAGGGATATTACTTGCCTTAAGCCCCAGTCAACGATAGTTCCTAGGTATCAACAAAAGTAAGTATGAAGGGGGGGAAAAAAGGGGGCAAAGTAGGAAACCGTGTCCAGTCAAGATGAGCAATACTACAGATAAGGCTAATATAAAAAAAATTTAATAGTTTTTCTCCCTTCATTTTTCTCCTATTCTTCCCTCTCTTTTTTCCTGTGTGCCTCTCTTCCCCCTCCCCCCAAAAAAACCCTGCAACATGAGTAATCCAGATTTATATTTTCTTCTAGCAAAACTTACGCTGTTGATTTCTGGTATATTTGACTAGATATTCTTCTAAATCACTATTTTGTGAACGTGAGTTACACTGAGCAGGATTTTCTACTGTTGCCTCTCAGATTGAGAGATGCGAAATATTTTTAAATCTTATTTCCAACTTCTCTTTCTTGAAAGATGATTCTACCTTTAATTTTGGAGCGCAATGCTAAATTAATAGTTATGCCGAGGAAAAATTGGTCTGTATAAGCCACTTGGGGAATGATGGCGAAATAGTGTGTTTGCTTGTTAAGTGCACAGGAGCACTCCAACTGCACAAATACAGCTAGGGAATGACTGGGTGGAAAGCAATAGGGCAGGAAAAGGATCGGAAAAATAGATCAGAAAACCTGAATGCAAGTAACAACGTTGAAGTGCTTTCGAGGGAAAAAGGCAAACCTCGTAGCGAGTGGCAGCAGCGGAAGTTGTGTGTGGAACACGCTAGGAGTCTTTCAAGTCTTCTGTGCGGTGCTGGTAAAATGTCAGCGAAACATTACATCTAACAACTAGCACAAAAATTACGGGAAGACGTGCATCAAATGAAGAGTGAACAGAAGGGACTCAGGACTTGAAAACAAGCTCCCAAGGGAATGTAGAAGGTGCCAGCATTTGATTAGTTTGGTGAAAAGGAGACTGAGGATAGGTATGATGACACTATATTTAAAAAAAAAAAAAAAAAGGGCTATAAAGAGAAAAGGAATAAATTCTTCCTGTTGTGGATAGGGCAAGGAGAGATGGATTGAATGACAGTGAGGCGATTAGGGGAGACACTGGAACAAGCCCTCTAGTAGGAAGGGCGGTTGAGAAGGGCTGCAGGCTGCCCGGGGAGGCAACGCTGGCCCAGCTGATCCCGCTTTCCCGCGTGGGTGTCATCTGTGGTGATACCGCTTTCTTCACGAACCCTCTCTTCTGGTTTTATAAAGTAAGATGCAAGATGTGAATTTGGCACTCAGGTATTGAGATGTGTAAATAGTATGTAATATGAAGGTAATAACTGGAATTAATCTGAAAAAAGGTTGTGAAAATATATACTATAATCTTTTATAGACTATATTCAAAATTATTGTATTATATGGAGGAAATCACCTTCTGTGGTCTTAGTAAAACCTGTATTTAAATCAGCTGGGTTTATATGTTAAAAAAATAAATAAATTATGGACACATACTCTACCTTCTATTAACGTGAATAACCTAAGGAATAACTCTGTTCAACACTGATAAAAGTGTAGCCAATATTTAGGCTGCTACATCTTCATCCTGTTTCTCTCTCTTTTTTCTTTTTTTTTTCAACTGAGTAGAAGAAATCACAGTGTCCTGTACTTTAAATTTCCCAAATTAAAAATCTTAGCCTGAATATTTGCATACTTCACTTAGTTCTTGTAAGAGCTTACTTTTAAGAACTGTTCTTTCAGTAGGCTTTCGTCTAATGCTCATGTGCTTTGTGGGGTCAGTATGCCAGTCTGCGTGGCATGGTGTTACGCTGTTTGACTAGGATCGTTTACAGTCCCCGTCTTGTTTTAACACACTTTATTTAACAAAAATAAGAGAATTTTTTTCATGATTTGTTTTCTATTAAAATAACGTTCAGGAGAGGACTTGTTTTTGAGCCTGAAGGCGTTCCTGAAAGTTCCACCTTAAATTTTCACTCCTTTGCATCTTGATGCGCGCTTTTGCAAGACGAGTGATGTAAGGAGGAACAATCTCACTGTAACATCTCGCTAGGGCAAAAGCCTGAAGCCGGGGTGGTGGGAGGCCGTTTCTGCGGCG